ATATATATATATATATATATATATAATTTAGATTATTTTTTGTAGTTAGAAAATCAAAACAAGGACTTGTTACTCAATTTTGTATTTTATTTTAGTTTTAATACCTATTTTAGCTTAGAAAATAATTTTTAATAAAATAAAATATTAGATTAAAATAATACATCATTTAAAGTAATTTACATTATTCAATAAAATAAAATTAATGATTAAATATTGATTTTATATTCTATAGTTTTGATGTTAGTTAATTTCATTGGAAAGGAAAAGATTAATGTCTTAAAAAATAATTCCAATATCTATACTTTTAAAACTAATAAAATCATTTTATATTTAAAAATACTCCTACCGAAATAAACAATGAAGGAATTAAAAGCCCTTTTTTTTATACATTTCAATACTTTAGTCTTTAGCTTATGTTAAATTAAATACATTATTCAAACATACATAAAGAAACATATGAAATTGATTTTAAAATTTATTTTCTACTTGATTTATTATTTTATGAATAACTACAAAATTTTTACTTTACTAATATATATTTGGTAAGTATACCAATTGACATAGTAATAAAAAATGTACGGGTAGGGGCGTTCGGCCACTTCTGGTCGGCCGTCGAATGGCAGTACTTGGTGGCCGAACGGCAATCGGCCACGTTCGGCCACCAGGATCGAACTATCATCACTCATTGCTCTTAACCCATGATTAGGGGTTAATCAGATGATTAAGGTGTATTACCTGATACGGTAAATACGTTGCAGGGCCCATGGGATCCAGGGCCCATAAATGTCAGTATAAATAGCTTAAGTCAAAAGGTAACGTCACTGTTCATTAGTTATCCTAGATATTTGTGCTTGTCCTGACTTGAGCGTTGGAGTGCCTTCTAGATTTCCAGATTAGCAAACAATGCTCATTGAAAACTTGAACCATGAAAGTGCTCATTCCAGAAAGATTATCAATTTGATTCCCAAAAAGAATTTTTTCATCACCACAAGAGGACACAAAACACATAAATTACTAATAAAATATTTGCATGAAGGCACAATAGAAAGAAACACTTATGCATTGATTCAAGGAAAAGAGAGGGAGCATGAACGTACCTGGAATTGACGGAAGTGCTCATTGTGTGATAAGAGAAGAAAGAGGAATAGAAGAGTTTTTTTTTTTAGGCGCTGGGCCCTTTTTAGGCGCTCAGCTGTTTGGGTGCAGAGAGCAATATAAAGAAAAGCGCTGAGCGCTTTGAAAGCGCTCAGCCATTTGATGCAGAATTTTCAACCAAAATGTTTTGCTGATATGAGGGGCTGAGCCGTTTTCAAGGGCTGAGCCGTTTTTCCCCTGTGAGGAAAATTTTAGCTAAAAATTAGACACTGCAGCCAAACGACTGAGCCGTTTTGTCAGTTTTGTAAACTTACCTGGAAGAAGCATATTTTGTTCTCCTTTCACGCTCCCACTTCCAGTTACCTTCAATAAACAAAATGGTTGAGTTGTCTCCCAGTAAGCGCTTCTTTATTGTCATTAGCTTGACACTTCCTGTATGACCATGGATCCTTCAGATGAGTAATGGTGGTGAATCTTGCAACCTCGCCACCCAAATATTGTTTGAGCCTTTGATCATTTACTACCCAAGTCCTTCCAGTGGAAGGATCTTCAAGTTCAATAGCCCCATATGATTTGACTGACTTGTAAATATATAGGTGAGTCCACAAAACACAACAAAACAAATATATCTATATATTATAAATATTCACAAACTAAATTATTTACAAAATTACAAAATCACAAGAACAAGAATTACTAAATAGCACCAAATCCCCGGCAACGGCGCCAGAAACTTGATGAAGATTTTCGCAATCTCTCCACTTGGCAAGCGGACCAAGTTTCGATGTAGTATTTAAGTATCGTCCTCAGGGATTTGAGAATTTAGTAATTCTTACTCTAATGATTAATATAGAGATGTTGATATGATTGGAAGTGAGCTAATGTGAGGCAAAATTAAAACGGTAATGTAAAAGTTATAAGAACAATTATATGAAACAAGGATTGGACCCTAGAGCACTTGCTAACTCCTAAATTTCCTTAAAATAAATATGATTTCATCTTCATGACTTCCACGTTCATTTAGTAATTCAACAAGATCCCTCAAAATTGAATCCTAAAGTAATTAATCTAAAACATGATTCCTCTATGTTTTATGATTAACACTTTGCATTAAGAGCAATGACTTGAACAAGGTGACTAAACAAATCAAGTCTATTCCTAGAGCAAGAGATGTTTAGGTGCAAGATTCAGTTCGGGTTTTCAAAAACGTTTTC